CTTCTCTGAGGCTGGAAAGTTTTTTTTTACAAAAGAGATCCAAGGGACTACTCCAAAAGCATTCAGTTAGCCTGTCAGAATGAAGACCAACCATGATCTCTTGAATGACAATCCAAGGGCATTTGTGTCAACTAGAATTACAATTAGCCACCTGTATATATGTTGTAATATCTAAAGACAAAAGCCCTTATTCTCAGAATAGCTGAAGGGCCATCAGCAGACTTACACAAAGCTAAACCTGTATCCAACATTTCAGGGTACCATTTGTAATGCATTATGTAGCATTAACTAATTAAGTAATAAGAAATAGGAATTGCTGGTTTTTAGAGGTGATGCCACCCAAAGGCTATCTGGTTTGGGGAGCTAAGGGAAGACACCTGCATAACAAATGAGTGGTTGAATCCTGCTCATCGCTATTTGGAAATGCCACTTATATATTTCACAAAGTTCTGGGCCACCTCTTGTATAGCAGTGTCCCAAGAGAGGAAACCACCAGATCTTGTATCTATTCAATTTCATTTTTTAATCTATTGATTGTAAAGGTTTAGCTAGCTGTTTGTCATTGTAGTATGTCACCCACTGTGCAGTGTGAATAGCTGTGATACTAGAAGCAGGAAGACAAAATACCTTGCCTGACTTGAAATATTGGTTAGGAACATTCTCCCAAGGAGGAGTACATGCAGCTGAGAATTTGAAAATATAATGTATCTGGGAAATACTTTTGTGCCTTCCTTAAAAAGGATATAAAGGGAGACGCTTAAATATAAAACATTTAAAAAGCTCTTTTCTCTGATTCGTTGGTAGTGCTTATCATGCCATGAAGATCTGTTGCTTTTTTTAGCCCTCACCACTTTCCAGCTTGACACATCACAAATCTCTTGCTCAAATTGACCAAAGTTTATTTTCTATTTTTCAAACATGCTCTTTATTTAGATTACATGCACCTTACTTCAAGGTCTTTTAATGTTTGACAGCTTCTTTAAAATACAAAATTAAGCCAGATTGTATAAATAACATGTACAAACAAGAGGAATTGATCTACTGCTGATCAAAATATAACAGCAGAAACACAATTGAACTGAGTGCAAAGCTTTTCTTTTTTAAGAGAAGAATAGGATGCAAACTTTGGAATAAATAAGTTTTCCTTTTTTATTACAAATTTATGATTGGCCTTATTCACTTTTATTTATTTGATGCCTTCAAGTCATTGTTGGCTCCTGGCAACTGCCTGCACTAGTCCCTGCAGTTTTCTTGGCAAGGTTTTTCAGAAGTGGTTTGCCATTGCCTGCTTCCTAGGGCTAAGCGAGAGGGACTGGCCCAAGGTCACCCTCAGCTGGCTTTGTGCCTAAGGGACGACTAGAACTCATAGTCTCCCAGTTTCTAGCCTAGTACCTTAACCACTACATCAAGATGGCTCTCTTATTCACTTTGCGTTATTTAATACTATCCTAGATAATTGAAATGGATTTCTTAAGCAGAATCCCATATGCTGTAGTGCTATATATATGTTACCAGAGCTCATAACTGATAGGACTGGAAAAAACAAACATTACCATAAAAGAAAAGCATATCTGCTCTTATTTGATTCTTACCTTGTGTGTGAAATGTACATAATGTTCAGATATTCAAAAGTGCAACTAGTTACTGTAGCTTGAGGCTTCTGCGATCAGCTGATTTCTGGATTTGGTGTGGAAATAAGACGGAGGGTGCAGGTTACAAAATTTGATCTTTATTTCAGTCAGAGACATATGGAAATTTTTACAAGGAATCAAAGACCCAACTCTTACCTGCAGTACCAGCATTACAAGGGCATGGAAAGCTACTCTCTCTCAGAAGAGACCCCATCCCACCTCAAGACTGCAAGAGGGATATAATAATGTGGCATTGTTACATACTGCTTTTTAAAACTAATCTGCAATATGTAAATACAAACATCCATCCACGTGCTTTGGGCTGTTCCAAAACTATGTAATTTCAGGTCAGCGTAAGGCTCTAATTTCTCTAAAGAATCCCAGAACATTGCAGTAAACTACATAACCCACCCTGCACTAGTTAGTGACCTTGTCTACATATTACATTAAGCCATGGTTTGTACAACCTTGATTTGTTGAATAAACCACAACTGGCTATACATAAACAACCTGCTAAACCATATACCGTGGCTTACAGGCCATAGTAACTGGGCTCCCCCAAGATTAGGCCAAAACAAACCATATTACGATTTACCAAATCAGAGTGAATTACGTGGCTGGTCTGTTCAGAAATTAATCCCAGGCATAGCTGTTTTTGATATGTAATAAAAGCATAACGAACTGCATAAACATTGAAGTTTGCACTTAGCTAGACCTGTTAACACAGACAAAGGATTGACTTGAGCTGCAGGGTTTGAGTCCTATTTTGTACTACTGAAAACCAAGGCTGCCAATGAGTCCTTCCTGTGCCTAAATGACAGTCTTTGAGGTACATAATAACCAGTCCTTGGAAATATGTTCACTATTCATAGAAGTTATTTAATTAGTAAAAGTAGTCTTGCATCTTGAGCATTCACGGGATTACAGTAGAAATCCCCTACCTGACATTTTAAACTAATTAGCATCTTGTCTACAGACTTTTCTAAATATCAGAGGTCTTGTGAAGGAAACCAAGTGACACCATAGATGCAATGGCACATGATTTCTGCACTAAATCACCATAGGATTGGGAGGGAGCATGTCATGTTCAACAGGCATGTAGTTAGTCAGGGTCTAAAATGTATGGAGAAGGAAATCAGGCAGTCTTCCTCTCATAGCAGCCTGTAAGCGTAATGGGCCACATCACCATATCTAAGGTCAGTCTTTGTATATTTAAGCAAAACGCTGTTTAGTTTGGGGACAGCCTATTCTGGTCATTCATGCCATAGTAAGGTGACCTGTGTGGTGTGTGTTTGTGTTTATATAGTTGAGTTTCACAGGTGGGACAAGAGGGTAAAGGTCCACTGAAAGGCAGTGTGAAAAGAGGTAAGATATTCATGGGATTGTGGGTTAGAGAAGTATGGAAATCATATATATCATGGGCAAAGAAGCATAATAATATAACTCTTGTGTGGAGAAGGGAATGAATGAATGCCAAGCTAGATGGCCTTGTGCATTATTTACTACACAAAACCAGGCAAAAAGATTTTTTATTGGTTGTGAGAGTTGGTCATATACCAATAATTTTCATCACTGTGTAAGGGGCAGACTTGTGTACAAGGTATCAGGATCTATTCCCATATATCAAAGGAGTCTTCTCTTGGGAACTGAATTAGCAAAGGCGTGTGTGAGCCATATCTGAATATAGTCCTTCTGTCAGTGTGAATCTTGCAACACATGGTGCCACCTACTGGTCACATCAATACAAACAACAACATGTACCTATGATATACTGAGACACTGAAAATTAATTGGCTCTTTGTAATAGGATCAGAGGCCAGAATAACAGCCCTGAAGGTTGAAACCGAAGTCATGCCAATCTAATGTCCCTTCTACAACATTTGCAAAGTAAATTCCTCTGTGAATCTCAAAAATAAAGCTTCAAGATAACTTTCTACTGTTAGGTATTCAAAAGCCAATTGTTATGGTTGATCGCCATTAAGAAGCTTATTCCTCCCTGAATTTGTCCAGTTCTATTTTGTTTAAAAAATATCTAAGCTATAAACCATCATTATATCATGTAATAAAACTTAATTATACCCTCAGATTGCTATCAGTCAATTATCTTGGTTGGTCAGACATTGTAGGGTGATTCACCTCATTATTTTAAGACCTTTACATGTCTCCGATTGGTATGTAAGCTAGTGCAATGATTGCAACCTTTTGTTGATCATACTAGTTGGGCTTTTCTGTATCTTTCTCTCTTTCCCTACACGTATTTTTGTGGTGTGGGGTAACCCAATGCATAAACAGTATTCCAAATACGTATTCCCACAATGCCACCTAATTTCATGTCCTTTTTCAAAATGTTCTATTTTGTCATTTACTTGTTCATCAATACTACACATTCAGCTGACATTTTTAATCAGATATTTGTCTATATTCCCAACGTTTTTTTCCAGAGCAATCTCTAAGAGAACGTAAATATCTGTTGTGTTGATCTGCCATCTTCTAAGTGTCCATCACATATTTAGGTTCTTGCTTCTGAATGCTTTTAATGCTCCTCTAAATCTGAGCCTTTGAAGTATCAGGGCACCCAGTTTCAATAAGGCTGTTTCAGAGTAATAGCAGCATATTTTCTTTATGAAAACATGTATTACTAACAACAGAAAGTATTTTCTCCTTTATGAAAAGCAATGAGAGCAATAAAATAAGATTTTAATATTTTATTAGGCTTGGTTTTTAATTTTTTTATGAATCATTCTTTTATTGTAGAAGCTGCCTTGAGCTTCCTTACCACCCAGAGTCATCTGATTGTGGCGGTAGAAAAAATCTTGTTAATAACCAGATAAATAAATTTTATCACAGCAAAGGAGAGTATGACTGCCTAAACAAAACAAATCCTGAGCATTTGCACCAGCATCTGAACCTGCCATGGAACCCTTTACATCTTATTCTGAGGATTTACTTACTGGCTGTCAAAATGGATTATGTATGGTTTCATTGATGTAGAAAGGAATGCAATTAAATTCAACAGTTTGCATGACAGATATATAGCCTCAGTTAAGAGAAGAAGATAGTTTTTATTTTAGTATTTATGGCCCAAGTGTTATTCTTTATACTTTTAAATATTGTCTGTTCTTTGAATTGGAGCTTGTACTTTGAGGAGAATGTGAAAAATCTCATTCATCTGCACTAAGCTAGAGATAGTATTGCTAATTTTATTGTATCATTTACACTGTTAGGGTGGCTACTTCTTAAAGTTGCCTACAATGCAGGAGTTAATATTTGAACAATATTGAAGTATTGTTATTTGAATAAAAGAGTATTATCCCAAGGAACCTGTTAAACACTTTGTTAAGTAAACAGTCTTCCTTTGTTTTACCCCAGGTGAAACTTCCATTTCCTGTAGATCAAATCACAGATCTTCCAAGGAATGATTTCCAGATGATGATAAAGATGCACAAATTAACCTCAGAGCAATTGGAATTTATCCATGATGTTCGGCGGCGCAGTAAAAATAGAATTGCAGCACAGCGCTGCCGCAAGAGAAAACTGGACTGTATTCAGAATTTAGAATGTGAAATCCGCAAATTGGTAAGCCTAAAGAAATATTAAATACTATTATTTATTCATTGAATATCTTACCTTATACTGGTCATTAACCAAATTTAATACAATTTATTTATCTTGCCTTGCCTTTGTAATGAATACTAAATACTAAGGCTTATTAAGCATGCTCTAGCCAGGTACACGCTAGATCTGCTTAACTTAAGCAAAATGCATCAACTACCTTCTGATCATAGTTAAGTGTGATTGAGTCAAGGTCAGCCCCTTAAAACTGTATGGATAAATGCTTCCCATCTCAGCCTCTCTCTGCTAATAATCCATAGCTTTTCTAAAGACAATTCCGCCATGCCCCAAAATCTTATCTGTTGTCTTGGCTTCTTCTGTTTCCCTGATCCTCATGCATCATCTGCTCATATCACATGTGTGTTTCTGCTTGCTGATCGTTGCCTCAAGAGAACAGTGGGTCTTTATTTTGTTCAGGGTTAGTTTTTCCAATCCACAATTCTCCTATTAATTTGAAGGTGTCTGCCTTCTTTCTGTCCTTGCTAATGGTACAATTCAGACTTCTAGCATCTCATTCTGGATAATGTGCCAGTCAGCTAAGACCTGATGTTGAAAACTGAAGCCTGATGTGCCAACTCTCTCTTTAAAAATTAACACTCTTCTGTATTTTCCAGGTTTGCGAGAAAGAGAAACTTTTGTCAGAAAGGAACCAGCTGAAAGCATGCATGGGAGAGTTATTAGATAATTTCTCCTGCCTTTCTCAAGAAGTATGCAGAGATATGCAGAGCTCTGAACAGATCCAAGACCTTCACCGATACTGCCCTGTGCTCAGGCCTATGGATCTTCCAACAACAGCTAGTATCAACCCTTCACCAGGTGGAGTGGAACAAAATGTAGTGACATCCCAGTGCATTGGAGAAGGCTTGCAGTGCTGTTCAGAACAAAGCCCAGTGCAGCAGCTGGGAGCCCATTGGCTGCCCAACAACATTTCTGACAAATGTACCACAAGAAGGTTGGATGGAGCTGACCAAGTTACTTACTCTGAGCAGGAGCTCCCTCCAGAGCAGAGCAACCAAGCAGTGACAGTGGATTTCTGTCAGGAAATGACTGATAAGTGTACCACAGATGAGCAGCCTAGGAAGGAGTACACCTAGTGTGGGTATCCCTTTTACATCACACCTAGCAAGGTCTCTTCAGTCAGTCAGTGGCCACGATAATTTGTTGTCTATATTGAAGAACATACTTGGTGCACACTACAGTGGTCTTAGCAGCAATACTGTTTTTAAGTATTCCATCCTCTCTACAAGCAGGAGTTTAACTTCTTCACTATGGTGCTATCCCTTGCTCAGGCAGGGGAACAAAGCAGTGGCAACACTGTCTGATTCTTTTTTATTGTTTTTGTTGTTGTTGTTGTTGTTGTTGTTGTTACTGTATTTTAATTTCAATATTCAACAGGGATGGACATAACACCTCTGAGGACCCAAACACAGCTTTTTCTCAGTGGCCCATGTCACAAAACCCTAACTCAGGAATTTCCTCTGAATGTTCAATTTTTCATTGAAGACAGCTTCTTTACACATCAAAGTTTTATAGCTAAACTGTACATATATATATATATATATATATATATATATATATATAATAAAATATATATCATATA